AAAGTCAAAATGGATCACAGATCTCAATATTAAAACAGGAACACTAAATCTATTGGAAGAAAAAGTAGGTAAAAACCTTGAACATTGTCTGCAAACAGAATAGCTACACCCTCACCAGTGTGGTCTAGAACGCATGAGAATCACTGGGTAAAGCTTGCTTCAAAATAAGTCAAGTAGGTCACCAAACAAATACAAACTAATTTTTAAAAATACAATAAATGGGATAGTATCAATTTAAGAAGCTTCCACACATTAAATGCAGCAATCTACAGAGTAAAGAGATAACCAACAGGATGGGAAAGATATTTTGCCAGCCATTCCTCAGACAGAGGACTAACATCTAGAATATATAAAGGACTCAAAAAATTAGAACCCTCTCCCCCCAAGTAAAAGAAATGGGCAACTAAAATGAATAGACACTTCTCAGAAGAAGTACAAATGACCAATAAATACATGAAAAAATGTTCAACATCCCTGGTCATTTAAGAAATACAAAATAAAACAACACTGAGGTACCATCTTATCCAAAAAGAATGGCTATCATCAAAAAACTAAATAGTAATAGAGCCCTGCCTAAATGATCTGCTCCACCAGGCTCCTGAAATGCCTTGAGCCAGCCTTTCCAAAGGCTGTGGTCAGCTCAGACCACACAACTCAGTTTTCTCTGTATTCCAGATTGCTACCACTTTGCCAGCCCATTCCCTGCTGGTGTCTAGCCCCTAGAGCTTGTAGGTATGGAAATCAAGTTACAAATTGGTGGTAAATATACACATTGGAACCATGCAATCTTAGAACATTGGCACCCAAGAATATGACTAACACAAATGAGACATGACCCTCCAGATGACATTGGCTCCAGCTTTTATCCTGAGTTGGGAAGTTACAGCCCTGGCAACCCTCCTGTCATAAAAACTCACATGAGACAACTGTGCTCAGCTTCCACCAGTGTCCTCACCCCAACCTGGTAACTGCTGATTCAAGTGATGATTATGAAGAAGCTGTGGATAACTCAGTACCAAGTATTTTGAATAAGACTCATAAGTATAATCTAAAGATCATTTTTCACAAAAACCATATATCAGTCAAGAGGAGCAAAACATATACAAATGTCAAACACAGGACAAGATAAGAACTGGAAACTCTCTTCCTATGTTTATTTATTTATTTATTTATTTTATGGGGAAAAAGTAAAACAAAATTTCATAGTAAAATTATAGGAGGATACAATAGTTAATACATTGATTATTATTATCTTTAAAGTAATCAGAGTAGAAGATATGAGCTTTAAAATTCTCTAAATGACATTAGCAGAAATCTTTCTTTTCAATGAACTAAGAGAAACTAGTAGTACAACTGACTTGTATTTTGTTTATTCCTGTGTTTTATGTCTATGATTCCTATATCACAAAGCCTGAAAACCGGGCCAATCTGTTAACTACCTCAGGTCTCACAATGTTCACAGTTTCCCTTATGATGTATTATTTACTGAACTTCTAGTAGAAGAAAAACATAAATATGATATTCTTCAAAGTGGTTTTAATGATGTTTACGTGTGTTTTGCACAAACAGCTTTATTTATGAATTCTTGTAAAACTCTTCTGTGCTAAATACAACTTAATGTTTATCTCAAAAGTGTGGGTCCAGGATAATAGAGAGCAACATCAGTCCATGGAATACTCAAAACACATAGAAAAAAGAAGACCAGGTCAAGCCCAAAGTCCAAAGAAGGGAGAAGATTATAAAGATCAGAGTAGAAATTAATGCAATTGAGACTAAGAAAACAATACAAAGAATTAATGAATCAAAGAGTTGGTTCTTTGAAAAAATAAATAAAATTGAGAAACTCCTAGCTAACCTTATCAAAAAAGGAAAAAAAAAAACCCTCGAATCCATGCAATAATGAAGAAAAGGGTGAAATCACTACAGATCCAGTAGAAATTCAGAAGACCATCAATACTTACTTTGAAAATCTTTACTCTCATGGGATGGAAAACACAGAAGAAGTGGACAGATATCTAGGTACATACCAATCATCAAAGCTGAACCAAGAAGATATAAAAATCCTAAATAACCTCATGTGAGTCAACAAAATTGAAAACATAATTTAAAAACTTACCAGCAAACAAAAGCCCAGGTCCTGATGGATTTACAGCTGAATTCTACAAGAAATTTAGAAAAGGTTTAATGTCAATTCTTCTAAAACTCTTTAATGAAATAGAAAGGGAAGCAATTCTCCCTAATTCATTCTTGGAGGCAAGTATTACCTTGATACTAAAACTAAAGAAAGACCCAACTAAAAAAGAGAACTACAAACCAATCTCCCTAATGAATGTAGATTCAAAAATTCTCAATAAAATACTGGTTAATAGAATGCAGCAAATCATTAAGAAGATAATATAGCATGACTAAGTGGGACTCATCCAGGGAATGCAGGGATGGTTCAATATACACAATCAAACGAATTGAACTCAAGACCTTGTGCTTGCCAGGCAGGTGCTTATGCCCCTGAGCTGTATCCCTGGCCTCCAATATACACAAATAAATAAATGTAATACATCATCTCAAAAAAATCAAAGACAAGAATCACATGATCACCTCAATGGATGCAGAAAACGCTTTTGATAAAGTCCAACACTTATTCATGATTTTAAAAACCCTACAGAAAATTGGAATAGACTTTACCTCAAGCCAATAAAAGCTATCTATGACAAACCAACAGCCAACATCATACTAAATGGACAAAAACTGAAAGCTTTCACTTTAAAACCAAGAACAAGACAAGTATATCCACTGTCAACCACTCAATATAGTTCTGGAAACATTAACCAGAGCAATTAGACAAGAGAGAGAAATAAAAGGAATAATTATAGGAAAAGAAGTACAATTATCATTATTCACAGGTGACATGATACTCTACATGGAAGAAACCAAAAACTCCACCAAGAGACTTCTAGATTGAATAACCAAACTCAGTAGCACAGCTGGATACAAAGTCAATACTCAAAAATCAAGAGCATTCCTATACATAAACAACAAACATACTGAGAGAAAAATTAGGGAAACCATACCTTAAACAACAGCATCCAAAAAGCTGAAATACTTAGGAATGGATCTAATAAAAGAAGTAAAAGATCTATATAGTGAAAATTACAGTACTCTGAAAAAGGAGATTGAAGAGGATTTCAGAAAATGGAAAGATATTCCTTGTTCATGAACAGAAAATATCAACATTGTGAAAATGGTCATACTCCCAAAATTGTTATACAGATTAAATGCAATCCCAATCAAAATACAATTAGTATAACTCACAGATCTAGAGAAAACATTCCTAAAATTCTTCTGAAACCAGAAGAGACCTAGAATAGCAAAAGCAATTCTTGGCAACAAAAGCAAGGCAGGAGGCATCACAATCCCTGACTTGCAATTATACTACAAAGCTACTGTGATAAAATCATCATGATATTGGCAAAAACACAGAGCTGAGGATCAACGAAACAGACTGGAAGATGCAGCCACAACCATAAACACACTCAGCCACCTTATCTTTGACAAAGGGGCCAAACATGTTCACTGGAATAAAGATAGCCTCTTTAATAAATGGTGCTTGAAAAACTGGTGTTCCACATGTCAAAGATTAAAACTAGACCCATGTCTATCACCATGCACCAAACTAAAGTCAAAATGGATTAAAGATCTAAATATTAAAACAGAAACACTAAATCTACTGGAAGAGAAAGTAGGCAGAAATCTTGAAGACTTAGGGGTAAGCAGAGAGTTCATGAACAAAAATCAAATTGCACGGGAAATACTTCAAAGAATCAACAAGTAGGCTTTCATCTTATTGAAAAGTTTTTGCACATCAAAAGAAATCAGCAACAGGATAAAAAGAAAACCCACAAATTGGGGAAAACTTTTAGCTAACTGTCTCTCAGTCAGAGGACTTCTATCTAGAACATATAAAGAATTCTTTAAAAATCAGGCCCCCAAAATTCAAAGACCCAATCCAAAAATGGGCATCTTAGATGAATACACACTTCTCAAATAAGGAAATACCCAATGGCAAATAAATACATGAAAAAAATGTTCAACGTCATCAGTCTTTCCAGAAATGCAAATTAAAACAACAATGAGATTCCATCTCACCTCAGAAAAAATGGTATCATCAAGAAACTGATCAATAACAAATGCTGAGGAGGTTATGGGGAAAAAGGAACCTTTCTCCATTGGTGGTGGGAGTGTAGATTGGTGAAACCACTGTGGAAATCAGTTTGGAGATTCCTCACAAAGCCCAGCTATTCCCCTTCTGGGTATTTTTCCAGAAGAACTGAAAACATCATACCACCATGAGATATATGCATCCATGTTTATAGCAGAACAATTTGTCATAGCTAAGCCTTGGAAATAACCTAAATGCCCATCAACTGAGGAATAGATAAAAAAAGATGTGGTATTTTTATACAACGGAGTATTACTCAGCTATAAAGAAAGATAAACTAGAGGCTTTTTATAGGTAAATGGGTGCAACTAGAGACCATACTCATAAGTAAAATAAAACAGATTCACACGTGTAAACATTATATTGCCCCCCTAATGTAAGAACCTAGAAGAGTAAATAAAATCTGAAAGGTACTATAGATATTGTGAAAGGGAAAGAATAACTGGTATGAGGGAGAAGAGAAAAAGATAGAGAAGAAAGAAAGAAAGAAAGAAAGAAAGAAAGAAAGAAAGAAAGAAAGAAAGAAAGAAAGAAAGAAAGAAAAAGAAAATATATACAAGATAGCTAAGGTAAATATACTACTGATTTCTATTGGTTTATTGAAATTAACAGTTAATGTTTAATTGTTTGATCAATCTTACATGCCCAGATCTGGTTTACTGAGTAATCACTTTGAAGATAACAATATGTAATACAACAACCATTGTTAATTTCCTATCATCTTGTTTTGAAATTCTGTATTGTTTTTATTGTTTTTATGTTACTTTGTTTATGTCTTTGTTTTTGTTATGCTGTTTCTGTTCTTTTCTCTTTAAAATCTAAAAAACACATGGAACTGAGTCAACAGAATATATTAGGAAGTTGCTCTGGGTGCCGCACATCAGCCCAACCCCAGTTTAGTTTCTATCACCTCTCTTAATGAGCAACATAAAGGAACCCAGATTGAAATAGCTGTTTCCAAACAAGTTAAAGTCATCATATTACAAGGATATATGCATACCTATGTTTTATAGCAGCATAATTTGTAATAGCTAAATCTGGAAATAGTATATATGTCCATGAACAGATGAGTGGATAAAGAAAATGAGGTATTTTTACACAATACAGTACTATTTTGCCAAAATGAAAGATAAAGTTGAGGCTTTTGTAGGGAAATGGATGCAACTTGAAGACACAACATTAAGTGAAATAAGATATATAACCTCAAATATTGCATGGTTTCTCTCATATGAGAAATTCAGAATATATGCATATACAAATAAAGGTCAAAATAGAAGATTCCTATTTTCAGAGAAACAGAAAATAGAGAGAAGTTCAAATAATCCCTCAAATTCTCTATTCTATTGACTCAAAAATACTTCAATATAACATGCTAGCTTGTTTCATTTATACTACTAGTTTCTCTGAGTTCACTGAAAAGAAAGTTTTGTGCTATTGTTTTGTTTCTCTTTGTAAGAATTTTTTTGTCTATAACCTGTGCTCTAAATAACATTTGGAGGGGCTGGGGATTTAGCTCAGCGGCAAAAGCACCTGCCTGGCAAGCGCAAGGTCGTGAGTTCGGTTCCTGGTACCAGAGAAAAACCAAAAAATAAATAAATAAATAAATAAATAAATAACATTTGGACATTCTTTTAAGATTACAGTAAACACTGCATTAACTATTGTTCTCTACTTGTTACGACTTTTTTCATAAAAGAGTGCTTTTTATATTTTATTTATTAATATCTACATGTATTATATTAAAATAAGAGCACATTTTTGGCAATTTCTGTGTTTGGGTGGAACAATTCATTTTCCCTGTGAGGCGGGAATGGATTTCGCAAAGTGGAGGGAACTAGGCTCCAGGACCCAAGTGACTCACTCAAGTCAGCGGGACAGACCCAAGACCCGTGTAACTCCAAACTTCTCAGTCTGAAATGCCTTCTTAAGGACAGTGGGTAGTAAATTACTTGATCTTAAAAGTGACCAGATGTGTTGTTTTTCTCCTAGAAAAGTAACCTATTTATTTAAAATATCTTACCACAATGTGTGCAGCGGTGCACACCTCTAATCCCAGTACTCTGGGAGGCTGAGACAGGAGGATGACAAGTTTGAGCCCAGCCTGAGCAACTTAGTGACTTAGCAAGACCTAGCCTCAAAAATTAAAAATCAAAAAGGGTCATGGATGTAGCTCAGAGGTAAGGTTTTGGGTTTAACCCCAGTACTGGGGCAATGGAGTCGGGGGGCAGGGGACAAAAAGAGTAAAAGGAAACAAAAAAGCTTACTACAAAAAGCCACAATGGGAAATATTTCCTGCCCCAAAATTTTCTTTGCCTACAGCCTTCTGTTATTATT